AACGCGCATTTCTTTTCCCAAAGTGTTTCACAAACTGCAACTGGAAGCTGTACTCCTGTTTGCAGACAGCTCTACTCATGGTTGACACATATTTCGGGATAGTTGCATGATAAATGCTTGAAATGTCGAGCAGATTGGTCGCGTTTTTCTTACATTAAAAATACAAGTTCAGTTGTAACATATGTCAATAAAGTTCATTGACTCACGGAGATGCACTGGGATAATATTTGAATTCTTCGCCTGTCTCTCCCAGACCACCACAACCTCACATTGCATAGGAATTGTGAATTGATTTGTTTCTTGATTTACTTTCTTTACGATACTTGCCATGGAATACTTAACGTGAGGGGTGTTGTTTTGCAGTGGCAGTGTCCATACCTCTGAACCAGGAGGTTTGGGTTTAAATCCTACCTCCCTCAGAGGTGTGTAATGACATCCCTGAACAGGTCGATAAGTGAATATTTACAATCCTGAACACAAAGTATTCATCTCCCTCTCTCTCTCTTTCTGAAACATATGTCAGGAGCACAATTTTGTTGATCGAAAGAATGTGCAAACAGGAATAAAAACACAAAGTGCCGGAAAAGCTCAGCATGTCTGGCAACATAGGAATATAGGAATTAGGACCAGGAGTTGGCAATTCAGCCCTTTGAGCCCACTCTGCCATTTAACATGATCATGGCTGATCTTATCCTGATCTCAACTCCACTCTCCTGCCTGCTCCCCATAGCCCTTTATCCTGCTTTTCATCAGAAACATATCTCTTCCTTTCCAGAATCTCTTGATTGATTCTGCCTCCAGTGCATCTGGGGCAGTGAGCTACACAGATTCACAACCCTCTAAGGGAAGTGGTTTCTCCTTATCTCTGTTAGCAGAATTCTGGACAACAACACTGCGTGAGGATCAAACCCTGGACACAGCCAGAGACAGACGCTGTGAGTTGCGAGAATAGCCTCTTTATTGTACATTCACAGCAGCACGATGCAAGGCGAAATAGAATCCCAAAATCATAGCTCAAAAGCAGCCGTTTTTATACAGAATTCAAGCTTCCGTTAACATTCTAACACTTGAGTGTTAAGCAGTAGATATGTTTAAAAATCTGTTTTGCAGGAAATCGGAGATAGTTTAAACATGTGCTAAATGTTAGCGGTTATTGTTGAGTGTTAATGGCTATTTTAATGAGATTAGAGTGTCTCGTTTGACCTTGCAAAAATTCAAAAGGTGTTAGTCTTGCTATTTTCAAGGTTAGAATTTTAAAGTTAGAAAAAGGCATATTGTGTTTTTATTAAATAGAAGCTTGAGTTCCCAACAGTTTTGATTGTCTTTGGTTTTTATTTACTATTGCTTGTTTAGTTAGTTTCACGTTTGCGTACATCTGTGGGTTCTATTTTCTATCATTCCTTCATTCATTCGGTTTTGTGGTCACAACTGTTGAAGTAGTGAGATAACAAGGTGTAGAGCTGGATGAACACAGCAGGCCAAGCAGCATCAGAGGAGCAGGAAGGCTGACGTTTCGGGCCTAGACCCTTCTTCAGTTCTTCCTACTATCTGTTGAAGTAGTGTTGTCAGTTTCATTCATTCATTCAAGATCGCGCGGGTCTGGACATTGCACTGTTAGTTTCAGTAGTAAGTTAAAGGTTGCTTACATACACTGCATAGAGTTTGTTAGTTTTTCTCGTGTGGTAAAGTTTTATATACGCTTTGAATAAAAACTTGGGACAAATACCTGGTTACATAATATACAGGAAAAGTCTGCAGGGAAGTAACATCTTACTTTAAGGAAGAGGGCTAATCCAATTATCACCTAAGACTGAGGGAGAAAATAAACGACTTGGTAATAGCACCTATTCATAGGGATTTTAATATCGAACAACACTGTTTAGGGTGTGAGGTTGCAAAAAGGTTTTATTCTATAGTTTCTGTGCAGTTTTGTTAGCCGTCACGCCTGACTGCACCTTTGAATGGAATGTCGGTCTTGTTAAATGGGATAAGAGGAACTGCCGATGCTGGAGTCTGAGACAACAAGGTGTGGAGCTGGAGGAACACAGCAGGCCAGCATCAGAGGAGCAGGAAAGCCGATGCTTCGGTTCTGGTTTCTGAAGAAGTGTCCAGACCTGAAGCGTCGGCTTTACTGCTCCTCCGAATCTGCATGGCGTGCTGTGTTCGTCCAGCTCCACACCTTGTTAAATGGGGTTGTTTACATTCCACGTTGTAGATGACTGCACTTTCAAGTGGGGTGTACCGCAAATGGAAGTGGTTGTAAGGTGATACGGTAGCGAGCTCCTGGATTAGTTTGAAGGGGGGCTGGCTAGTATACGGAAATCTGCATCTTGTATTATAAACACGAATTAATGAGTTAATAGACTTATGATTTATGGCGTTGTATTAAAAGTTGTAAATAGACATGAATTCCAATATATCAAATCGTAGATAAATTCCACCATTAATTGGGCAATAGCCAAGTGGACTTGAGGCTTAACTTGTTTACTTGAGGGATCTTATTTTGGCTGCTAAATACAAATACATTTAAATCATTGTTTCAGCGTTGAGTTGTCTGTGAGATTTCTTAATAAGTAGCAGAATTAAAAGCAATATGGTAATTTACCCACTCTAATTTCGTTATTCATATCACAGAATCTTCTCTCTAATTTCTGTACCCATATTTGAAGAAGGATTTTTTTAGCACCTTTGAGGCAATTTAAGTCAGGAAATCAAGGGAGGCTGTGGTCCAGTGGTAATCACTGGATTTGTAATCCAGTTTGTATACCCAATGTTAATGTTCAATGGATGTGAGTTCAAATCACACTGTGACAAAGAGAGAAATTGAAATTCAGTTAAGATCTGGAATTTAATTCGAAAAAAAATGTTTTTAATTGTCATTAAAGAAAAACATCTGTTTCATTAATGTCCTTTAAGGAAGGGAATCTACGATCCTTCCCTTGTCTAGTTCAGGTTTAAAAGGATATCGACCGAATGGAGGCAAATGAGACTAGTTCAGTTTAAGAAACCTGGTCAGCATGGATGAGTTGGGTCTGTTTTTGTGATATATGACTCTATAAGAGTGCAGAAGCAGTTTACAAGAATGGTCCTGGGAATGGGAAATTTCAGCTACAATGATAGATTGAAGAAGTTGGGATGCTGCTGCTTTGAGAGAAGCATGAGTGGATTTTGGATGGAGGCTTTTAATTTGTGATTTGGTACAATGAAGTAGACAGGGAGAAATTGTTTCCAGTTTTAAAATGAACAAGAGTGGGAGGGCATAGGTTTAGAAGTGATGAGCAAAAGAAACAAGGGTGAAGTGAGAAAAAGCTTTTCCACACAGCAAGTAGTGACGGTCAGGTGTACATTGCCTGGAAGTATGTTGGAGGTGGTTTGAGACGAAATAGTGTGCAAAGCTAAAGGGGAAATGCAGGAGAATGAAAGTAGACAACAATACTTCTCTGAGGAACTAGTGCAGGCTCAAGAAGCTGCATGCGCTCTCATGCAGTGGCATATTTGTGAATCTGAGATTTATTTTGATTTTAAAGACTTCGGTCTGGATCTTCAGAGGAGCAGCAGTCCTCGTCGGACACCACCTCCACTGGGATCTTTCCCCACATCCACATTGATCCGTACATCCTGCTGTGTCTTCCAAGGCAGTTTTCTTCAAAAATCCAGGGGGCAGCACCCATCAGAAAGGCAATGTTCACGGTAGCTGACAATCAGGGGAGAACAGGAGAACCCTCCCTTTGGTAACTTTAAACATCCAGTGAGATAATGAGGGAATGGGTGAGTAGCTGAGAGAGTGGCAGATTGTGAGGAAAGTGGGTAAATAGGTATGGGGGATGAGTAATTGAGGAAGTGGATAAATGGGTAGGTGGGTCGAGTTGCAGCGGGTGAATTGATAACCAGGCAGGTCGGTAGACTAACAGACGTGTGATTTGGCACATGTGTAGTTTGTCAGGTGAGATTGGTAACTGGTGGGAGAACTGTTTTCACGCTGGATGTCAGCTTGGTGAGGTGGCACATGACGTGGAAAGTTATTGCCCGTGGGTGAGATGGTATATGTGCCAGTTGGAATGCAGTTCAGATGGTAGACTTATCGAGTGGTAAGGCTGTATGTGGGTAGAGTGGCAGGTGAGTGAGTGGGTAAATAGCTAAGGTGTTAGGTGGTTAATGAAGGGAAATGGATGTGGAACATTAAAAAGCAAGCGCTGGAGAATCTCAAATTGTCTTGCAGCATCTGTGGAGACAGAAATTGAGTTAACATTTGCATGACCCTGGTCAGGTCATATGTGACTCGAGTGGTATTTCCATAAGGTGGCATGTGAGACGGTTGATGAAGAAGCAGAAGTTGGAGATGGCAGGTGAGTCAATATGGCATCTCTGGCAGGCTGCTTGGGCAGCGTTAAGGTGAAGGTAGTTGGGGGATGGTGGGTGAGTTGGTAGAAATGTTCAAGGGGCAGCTGGGTGGCTGAGTTGAGAGGAAGGTGAGAGGGTGATTTGAGGGTGGCAGGTAGG